AATGTTAGAATAAGTGGGGAGGTGATCGGGTGCCACGAGTTGTGCTCAAAAAGATGGGCAGAAATATACCAAAAGGAAGAAAGAATGAATGAATGTTGAAATTCTTCCACGGAATTTTCAGTTAGGTGGTTTATAGCTGTCATTTTCTTATGGAGGAGATGGGGTAATGATATCAAAACAAAATACATTTTAAGGATATGATGCCATCTAACAAATTGTCTCAATCTGGAAAAATTAGAATTTTCATCTGTAAAGAAAGAATTTTAATTCTGACTAGAAAAATCAAAGTCATATGGATGATACCAAGCTGCTCTATTTTCTGTTTTGAAATATATGTTAGATACAAGTACAAATACACATCTGGATTTAGATTAATGTATGGGTGTAGGTAGAGGACATCTGGAAAGATTAAGAAAACTTTTAATAAAAAAAATCCATGTACGGCCTTCGAGTGTAGCTGAGTGGTCGAGCACTTGGCTGCTGTCATTAAGGTCCTGGTTTTGATTGCCAGCACAAGAGAGAAGGATGAAAGGCAGAACAGGAGGAAAGAGGGAGGTGGAAAGGAAGGAGGGAAATGGTATGGGGGGAGGATATATGCATTACACGCTTCATAGGAAGGCACAGTGCTGGAGGGTTTTGCGCTGCAGACTCATTAAAAGAACTACCAAGTTTTAATGGAGTCTTTTGTTGGGGAAGCCTTCTTAGCACCAGAATCAAGATATGGAATAAGTTTGTATCCCACAGTTAAGTTATCTAACTATTTGAGTTTAAATAATTACCCTGACACTTCCAAAGAGATTTGCTTAGTCTTAAGCCCTATTCTCTTTTTACTAAACTACGCCGCCGTTCGTGGGAGCACCTACACTTGAAAGGTTACTTTGCAACATTTCTCACATCACAGTTCATGTGGAAAATGATGGTATTCATTCAGCACACTGGAGTACGTGGATGAAGCTTCTCCTGACCCACACTGACCACTGAGGGACTCTAGAAACCTCTGTCTCCTACTGAGCTTCCCAAATACGGTATATTTGGAGCCTCTTTGAAGCACGCTGTGTCTTAGCCTGCCTGTTGAGAAGCTTTGGGCTAGAACAATATTTGCATGGTTACACAGAATAATTTTACTTTATGTAAAGTACTCACCCAACCAAAATTTATGCAAGCACATTATTGTAGACACTAAAGATGCAACAGTGAGTTTTCTGTCTCCTCCTGTAAGAGTTTGGGAGACAAACTCTCATGATCTCAACATGTTTCTTGTCTTTATTTATTTATTTGTGTCTTTATTTATTTATGTGTGTGTGTGTGTGTGTGTGTGTGTGTGTGTGTGACTTGCAGACAGTAATCCTGAATGCTTTCTATTTGCAATGTTGGGTGTGTCAACTGAAATACAGAATACAGTGTGATGTAGCAGAGAAGCCCTCCTTTGGAGAGAGGATTATGAGACTCATATCTAACTCCAGATCTGCCCCTGGCTGGGTTCCCTGTCCATGCCTTGGCTTCTTGAGTCTGGTAGTTGGATTAGAATCATGATTTTTCAAACTGCACAATGTAGATTCCCCACAGGCTCCATCCTTTACACTCTTTAGCCAGAAGTGAGTTTGGCTCTTTCAGACCTGCTTCCTTGATAAACAGTTTCTCTAAGCAAAAGAGTGTGAGAGAGGCAGTGAGGAAAATTGAAAACTCCCACAGTATAGTAATCTCTAAGGACTTCAAAGAGCTAATATTTTCAAACTCTCTGTTTTTTTCTTTTTCTTTTGATCTCAATAAGACCAAGACTATATCTTGATCATGAGATGTCACCCCTTATCCTTCCAGTAACCTCCTTGTTTCACAATACTGCTTTTTTACATAAATTGTTAAATCACATTTTAATTTTTTAAAGTAAAAAAGTTAACATTTCTAAAGGCAACAATCAGTCTTTGAGATGACAGCTTGAAGTAGAGGCTTCCAAATACCCTCCTCCCTGACACTGTAAGAGATTCTACCTTTCTCTTCGAGGTTGTTGGGGACAAAGGATCTCTTCTGCATTTTTGGTAGGAATGTAAACTGGTGCCACCTATACAGAAATTAGTATGAGAGTCTTCAAAATACTAAAAATAGAAATTCCATTTGATCCAGCTGTACCTCCCATGGGTATCTTCTCAAAAGAGTTACAGTTATAGTATTACAGTGATCCATGCACACCCATGTTGACAGCAGCACAGCTCATAATAGCTACATCTTGGAAGCAACCTACAGAACCATCAAGAGTTGAATGCTAAAGAAAATCTGGCACATGACACAGTGGAGTACTAATCAGCCCTCAAGAAAGGTAAATTTGAGTTATTTGTAGGAAAGTGGGTGCATCTCAAGACCGTGATGCTAAGTAAAACACGTTGGAGGCTGAAGATTAAACACCACATGGTTTCTCTTATATTGACAGGAAACAGGGAGCTAGCTAGACTTTGAAAATGGGAAAGGTATGTATCTGGAGATGGAAAGAGGCAGGAGGGCAGGAAGGGGACGGGGACTAAAATTATTCAGATGTGATACGTATGTATATGTGAGCTGTGTGTAATTATTATGCATTGCAAACACCTGCTAATTTAAAAAAGAAAAAGAGCAGCTTTGTGTGGGGTACTGGTGGGCCAGATGGGGACTGAGAGGGAGGCATACAGGGCAAGGGGCTGGCTAATGACGGTCAGTGTGCCTTCTCTTCGTCATTTGCCAGCCCAAGCTGCTTTCTTGAAAACTTTCTTTTCTGCCTTCCAAGCATTTTACAGCAAGCCGATGTTAGGCCCATTTCATATGTCTTTCTTTGTAGCAGAAATGTTCAGGTTACCTGTCCTTTGAGCAAAGCTTCTGTAGACTGAAAGCCTTTCCTTAGAAACAGATGAAACCTTATATGTTGCTGCTGATTTCGAGTAAATGAGCTGAATCTTGCAGCCAAGCCTCAGTGCAAACAAAACATTTTCTGGTCAAGTATTTTTCTGGTTTGTTCAACTACATTACAGGGCAAGGTTAAAAAGGAAAGAGAAGCAAAGCGCAAGCCCTGGGAAGACAATTTCTAGCCACATTAACTCAGATCACTGGGGTAGAGGAGGAAGAGGCCCTCATCCCAGACTCTCATCCTTTGCTCTTCTGCTCTTTTCATTTAACCTCTTCAAAAGGGGAGAGAAATAGGTTAATAGTTTCCATGCGTTTAGACTGTGACCAGAGGCATACTAAGCAATTTCAGAGCCTCGGGCAACCGCAGCTCTGAGGAGAGGATGATGATGGATTTACCGATTCATCTTGGGATGGATTCCAGAGTTGAAAGACTTGGGCCAGCACTGTGGTGCCAGCGTGGAATTAAACATTGGTCCTTTATTCATTCTTCCTGCACACATTGATCCCCAGCTTATTTTTATTCCAGGCAGTACACTGGGTACAGTATGGGACAGAAAAGAAATGTTTTTAAGACATAGTCCACTTCCTTAATGAAATGACAAAGTCTGGTAAAGGAAACAGACATGTCCCCAAATAAATTTAATGAAGGATGCACAGGAAGTACTGTAAGAACAGTAAGGAAGGTGCTAAAAAAGAGGTGAGAAAGGAGCAGCCAATTTCAACTGGGACCATCAAGGTAGCTTGAGATATCAGAATGGTAAATTGTGACTAGGAAGCATTAGCCAAGGTGCAGAAGTGTGTGGTTTTCTCACGAGCTTGAACAAGAGGAATAGTCTGAGATGTTATAAGAAGCTAACTAAGCCTAGAAAGGGACGTTGAATATCATGTACAGAATTCATTCCTTTTAGATTGTGGAGCCATTCAGTCTTTGTTATCAGGGAAACACTTCGTTGTTTTGGAATGGAAACTGGGAGTCATTTCGAGAGCAAAAGAAGTATTGGGGAAGGCTCCATGCAAACAGAAGCAGAGGCAGAGCCCATTGCCCTGGGCCGTTGTGGGACACTAGTTACTTCCACACGGATACATCTGTCCTCCTAGAAATTTAAAGAGTCTCACAATGAGGGGCAGTTACTCCCTGATTTCTGCAGCTCACCCAGTTCTGCATGTTCCTAATGAGATCTACGTCCAGGTCTATTTCAGATTCCAATGAGTCCAGCCAGATATCTCACTTGGAATACAGTGTATTCAGTGTGAAACAAGATTGTTTGGTGGGAGCAGGGGATTCTAGAGAAGGATGGAAAGTTAAGTGTGGATCTTTCTGAGCATTGGTGAGCTGAAAAGTAGCTCTTACAAGGATGGTACCAGTGTGTATTTTTTAAGGCAGGTGAATTTTTCATTCACTTTTCAAAACCAGACCACCCACGACAGTCAACGTTTCTTCCAAAGTATTCATGGACCCAAAATGTGGAGATGGTGTTTGACTCAAAGTATTAAATGATCGAAACCCCATTGATTAGGCCGAGCTCTGATTTGGGTTCTAGAACCAGCGTGCATAGTCTGGGTCGTCAGATCATTCTTTAGAAAGTTAGGGGCCTTGTGGCCGTCTTCTAGATCTTAGATGATGAACCAAGTTTTAGAAGTAATAGTATAAAGCACTCTCCAGTGTAGAACCTAAGCGGGGTAGTTATGTGATCAAATGACAGCCATGAGCCACATCTGGCCTATTATCTGATTTTGTGAATAAAGTTTTACTGGAGCAAAACTACGCTCATTTGTTTACATGCTGTTTATGGCAGCCTTTGAGCTACAAGGGCAAAATTAAATTGTCCTGACAAGCCCAGAAATATTTACAGAAAAGTTGCCGTCACTCTTGTGATGGTGGGAAGGAGCAAGGGTAGTAGAAAGCGCATATTCTAAATCCTGGGTTTGCTGTCTGATACCCAGAAGACCTCGGAAAAGGCCCTAACTCATCTGATTGCATTTCCTTCCCTCTGTAATAACAACATCCACTCTGCCTTCTTCAGAATGCCATGCCAGGGACATGAACCCATGTTCTTTGTAAAAACACTGAGCTGTACTGTACAGAAATGGGTCCCAGCCTAACACTGGCATGTCCTTTCCCTCCCCAGAATACTCTGGAGCAGTGCAACGTGTGCTCCAAGCCCATCATGGAGCGGATTCTCCGCGCCACCGGAAAGGCCTATCATCCTCACTGCTTCACCTGCGTGATGTGCCACCGCAGCCTGGATGGCATCCCTTTCACCGTGGACGCCGGTGGCCTCATTCACTGCATCGAGGACTTCCACAAGTAGGCAAAGCCCCTCCCTCCTCCAGCCCGCCAGGCCTCTGGACATCTGTTCTGACTGCCTAGCATCTGTGCTGCACATTCTTGTCTCTCAGAGCTGTAGGCGCTCAGGATGTAGTGACCTTTAAAGAGCACATTCTCACCCCACACAGACCCCGCCTGCTGCAGGAATTGCTGTCGGTTAATCCACAGGCTCATCCAGTGGAGCTCGTTTCAGAGCTTCTTGGAGCATGGTCTATGGCAGCTTTGTGTGGCTCTCATTGTGAAAAAGCTGACTCAACCACCAAGTATGTGCGGTAGAATGAAGGAGGATTCTGACTTGACCACGAAAGACTCATAGATACCATTTGGCAAATTGCTCCTGAGCTGAGCACTTCAATTTCGTCACGTTTCCAAACTTTGTCCTAAACCTCTCCCAGGTGTGACAAAATCTACATCACTGCCCTGCTGCAGATGGGAGGCCTTGGAGGACAGATGCAGAGAACAGTTCCCTCCTCCTAATGCAAGCCTCTCACATACGCAGAGCAGCTTTATTCCTAGTCCTCCCTAGCCTCTCCCTTCACCCAGGTCTTCTCTTCCTGAGGATATTTTCTAGTGAAATTGACTAATGCAGTATTGCATGGTCTTCAGAGGAGGATTAGAAAGTAAAGCCTCATGAACAAGGCCATTAAATCATTGGCCTAGGAATGGACATATATCCCTCTTCTTCGTGTCTCTCATCTGTAGGTCCCTCTTTCCTCCGTTAGGGCTGAGGTTTTTGAGAAAATTACAGTTTTGTATTTTGCTTATTTCTATCTGGCCGGTGTGTTAGATGGTTTACTGGTCACATGGTGCATGTGTTTACGGGCCGTATAAACGCCGTAAATGTGACTCGCTATCGGAAGACAGGAGGGTTTTCTGACTTCTGTTTGCTGGGATTGGCTTTGGGGACAGTTTGGGAGGCCCTTGGCGAGATGAAACTCATACTGCTCACCACTCTGGGCATCCGTTCTATGGCCTCCAAGTGTGCAGTCTTGTGGGCTGATTTCCACCACTGTCGACTGTCAGCAGCCAGGAGGCACTTTCTGCAAGCGGTGTGGAGACCTGAGATTCACATTTAAAAAATGAACTTCCTGACCACTTTCCAAATAGCAGAGAAAGTGAAAACCTCACCAAAAGTCGTGAGGTTGAATGAAGTAAAAAACCCCAGAGGCAGAAACCCTCAACCTGAATTAGACAAGAAAGGGCTCACTTTTAAAGGGCAGTCGCAGCATAAATTGCACTTCACGTTGTTGCTATTTTTAGCTTGTAATTACACATGAAGAAAAAAACCTGCGTCTATTTAAGGGAAAAGATACCCATAGGGAGTGTATTTCTGTCACTGTTTCTCTCCTTTCTTAGACTTACCCTAATCCAAGAAAGTTATAAGATGTAATAGATGTAATCAGAGCACACATGTTTCTGTGGCTGGAAAAGACTGATACATTGCACCCCTCAATTCAAACAGGAAATCAATCCTGACAAATATAAGTTTATATCTGTGCCATTTATCTTTCATTTCTAGTGGTGGGGAGCATAATTAAAGACTTGAGGCTCGTGACATAAGTGTGTGGGTCTGAAAGCTCCAAAAAAGCAGGCTTGAGCAGCTAAAAGGGAAAAAGAAAATCTCCAAACTCAGCTACACCCCCTCCCCCAGCCAGTTCTTTCCATGTTAAAAGAGAAATTATTTCTTTAAAAATAATGTTGTATCCATAATTGGCAGGTATGTGGAAGGAGAGACTTTGTGATGTTGTTCTCACTTATGAAAAGAAAGTAGAAAAATAAATGTTACAGAACTCTTATTTCTGAGCCTTGAAAGACAAAGCCACTTGAAGTCCAGAACCAGGTGGGGAATGCAAGGCCAAAGAGAGTAGACAAAGTACCTAAACTCCTTTCCCAAACAGATTTTTAGGGTCTCAGTTTTGGTCCTTCTGAATGGGTCTGCATCTGTGAGGGTTATTTTTTCTTATTTGTTTGTAAGTTTACGGGGTTGTTGTTTTGAGGTGTGTGAGGAGGGGTTACTGGAGATTAAACCCAGGGCCTTCACATGGAGCTCCATCCTCAACCCTTTATATTGCATTTTGAGACAGAGTCTCACTAAGTTACACAGGCTGGGGTCAAACTTATGATTCTCCTGTCTCAGCCCCCCAGAGTGCTATGATTATAGGTGTGCACCACCACTCCCAGCTTTCCATCAGCTTCTGGAAAATGCGTCTCAGTACAGTTCAACGCTCATTTGCAGAGAACTCACTGCGTGCTGGTAACTGTGGTAGGTGCTGAAAGGAACAATGCTAAGGAACCAGGTTGCCCAGACACACAGAGGTAGAAGGTGTGTGCCCTTAGAGAGTATGTGCAGACACAGCAGTGCGACAGGGCCAAGGGGCAGCACTCTGAGGCAGACAGCAGGGAGGAGCTGTGCGGACGGAGTCAGAAAAGATTGTGTAGCTCAGGAGTCAGGGCAGGCTCTGTGGAAACAATTGGAAGAGTGTGTTAAGTGGGAATCAAAGGAATCCCTGTAGGGCATAAAGAGGGTGGCCTCTTGGCAAGACCTCAAAACTGGTATTTCAGGAGGCACAGAGCCTGATGTACAGAACCTGGAAGTCTTGCTGGTAGGTCACTCCCTACAGAACATCCGGGGTCATAGTTGGTTCACGAGTTCAGTCACAGATGTCAGTTCAGTGACTGCTGTGCCCTCAGTTCCCTGGCCAGCTGTCCCCCTGTAAACACACAAGCGCACACGCGCACGCGCACACACACACACACACACACACACTTTCCCATTTCATGTAAGCCATCATCTTCAAAAGGCCAAACTCAATTTCCATCTCCTCCAAGACAGCTTCTCTGACCTCAGCCCTCTCTCTCCCCATGTTTGAATTTGCATCTGCTCTGAATTTGATGAAGTTTGGTGATAGCACTTACCAGTTTGATTTGCAGTGAAACATATAGACAGAAAGTTTTACAGTAAGCAACTGTATTATTTTTTAATAAGAAAGAATGTGTATGTAAATTAATAGAACAGATGCATAAAAATATAGAACTTCCTCTCAGGTCATTTCCAGTGCCAATGCTGTAAAGAAGCCCAGGAAAGCAATCTTAACTGCCTTATTCAGTGTGCTGAGACATTATCCTACTATCTGTGCCTTCTTAGCATAGATATTACCCTAACCTATTTGTTTAATCAGCATCCATTTGTTGATTGCCAGAATTATGCTGGGTATGAGATGACTAAGATCATCACTCTCTTGGCTGTAAAGTAGAAATGATAGAAGTACTTCCCCGTAATGCTGCTAGAAAATAATATTAAGTATATAGAGTGTTCAGTAGAACTTGGCACATAACAATAATCAGTTAAGGGTAGCTGTAGTCATCAAAAAATGTTTTCATCAAATTAACTTATTATTATTATTGCCCACTCAGTGAATCAAGCATTGAAAGAGACCACTGGGATTTTTCACTCTCCTCAAATTTCCAGGAACACTCTGGGGACCCCTCCTCTCTCTTTACTTTTCTTTTCCCATCATGAAAAGGGGGCCAGTTGGTAGGAAAAAATCATTACTTAGCAAAAGTCCAGTTTATGCCCTTCTATAGAAGGACCTTGAGATTGAACAAAAATGCTAAATAACATTTATCTTGCAGAGGCTTATTGCAGACTATATTTCATTAGATATTACCTTAGTTACTTTCTCACTGCTGGGACAAAATACCTGACACCCACAACTTAAAGGAGGAACGATATTTGGCTCACACGTTGTAGCGATTTCAGTCCATAGGGGTCTGGCTCCATGGCAGGGCAGCAGGGCACAGGAGAGTGAGTTTGTGCCCTGCAGCGAGAAACAGGGCAGTCGGGGAAGGAGGAAGAATATATAACATCCCAGGCCCCCTTCCACCAGGCTTCACCTCCCAGCAGCACACCAGCCGTGAAGCCAGCAGTGGACCAGTCCAGCATCACACTCCATGATCCAGTCATTCCCCAAAGCCCCACCTGTGAGCGCAGAAGGTTTTGGGGGAACATCACTGATATTGCTCAGATTTCTTCTGTCAGGTCCAGTCATGGTGATCGAAAAGGGGCAAAATCTATCCTTTGCAGCTAAAGACACACAAAAAATTACTATTAAAATGGACAAATTCAGTGAAAGAAACGTTATCCTCAAGGAATGAGTAATTCTGCTTTGGGAAATGTAGGGCAGGAGGCCTGTAAATAGGATACAGTAGGAAGGAAAATATATTTCTACCCTCACAGAGTTTACAGTTCCAGTGGTTTTCAGAGAAGGAAAGTTTACAGTTGATACCAGAAGCTTGCTTATTTCACTACTGATGACCCAGATTCAAAAATAATCAGGTAGTCCAAAGCAATTTTTTGCCACTGAATATAAACTTCTCACATAAAAATACCAATTATAACAGCTCTGATTACGGCTGCGGTTGTACCATGATGCTTTTAATTTTTCTTTCATAGCAATCAATTGATCTGCTGCTTAATTCATATTTATTTAGATTGCAGCCGTACAGATGCCTTTTGGATGCTGCCAGGAAAATTAATATGTACATATAGAGCATAATGTATGTAAAAATGCTTTGACAACCATAAAGTGCTGTGTGAAGTATTAGATTACTATCATTATTTCCTTTTCAGTCTTACTACAAATAGATAAATTTTAACATCATTAATCTTAAAACCATTCCATCCAAAAACTGAGTTACACAGTCTCTTTTGCGTTTTGAAAATCTCTTCAGCTCCTATGAGTGTCCATTTCAAATCATGGCTCCTTTCACACCTTACAAATGCCACCCCTGCCTGGGTTCCAGAAAATACAGATGGATGGACGCCCTCTCTTTGCAACCTGTTAATCTGCTATGAGGGAAAAATGTGGGGGACCATAGGTCATGTTAAGAACTAAGAAATGAGAAATACATTCTTCACTGCTAACCTCAGAAATATATGCATATGTATATTTATATGTGTCAATATATTCATAGCCTTGAAGAGTGCTAAAATTCTTCAAAGAATGTAACAGCTCGTTAATTTTTCAAACAAAAGTTTAACAAAACCAGAATGTAGGAAATGTAGACTTGGCCATTTTTAATTTGGTGTACTAGGTATTTAAACTTCCAGAGTAATATACCTGAAGCTTCTGGTGTTGGCTCCTAGGATTCAAAACATTTCTAAGAAAGAGGCCCTGTGAATTCAGAAGGAGGCAAAGGTAACTTCGAGATGTTTGTCTAGGACCAAAGGAGTGGATGCAAAGGCCTAAAAGCAAAAGTCGGAGACAAGTCTGGGCCCCGCGGCCCGTTAGTTTTTCCTCAGTGTGGCCCAGGCTTGTAGCAGAAACCTGTGCGCAGGTGCTTGCCAACCACATGCCATGTGGTGAGGAGCTCCCGGGTGCTCTTCATGCCAAGCAGATCACACGCTCACTCTTTCCCCTCATCAGACATCACGGTCTCTGCCTCCTAGAAGGACCTCAGCACTCTGACTCCTTCACCATGCAGAGGAGAAAGCAGACTCAGATGGAGCAGAGTCACACAGGAAATGCAGACCGGGTGTCTGGGTGCTGGGCTGACTCCTTTTCTTCCTCCCCCTGCCTGTCACATCTTTGTCAGTGTCTATGCTTAGTGTCTAACCGGAATTGCCTCCCTGTTTTCAGGAAATTTGCCCCCCGCTGTTCTGTGTGCAAGGAGCCTATCATGCCAGCCCCTGGCCAGGAGGAGACTGTTCGCATTGTGGCTCTGGATCGTGACTTCCATGTGCACTGCTACCGCTGTGAGGTATGTGGTGGGTACTCCACGCCTGCCAGTGCATGCCACAGATCGAGAGGCCCGGGAGAGCTGGGCGTTCATAAACAGAGTTGTCATTAAACTGGGGACGATCAGGTTGCCAGTGTTCACAGAGCCATGTGGGTGTTTAATGCAAGTAACATTGAATAGGTCACTTTACCTCTCTCGATCTCAATTTTTCCACTTGTACAAAGAACAAAAATTCTTCATTCCCCAGATAATGGCTGTGAGACTAAAATAAACCCTGTAAGTTGTAAATTACTAAATTAATGAGAAACGGTACTGTTATTATCATCATCATTATACTGAATCTTTAACTTTGGCTCTAATGCACTGCCACCCACTGAAAGGGGTAAGAATCCACTCATTTCAGGGAAGTCAGAGTTTCTTGTTCAAAGTCACGGAATTTCACTTATTAGCAAGCACTAGCTGAGCACTTAAGAAGCCAGCTGACTGCTAAGGACCGTAGGAGAGCCAGGATTAAGGTGCCGGAACCAGAGTCCAGGCAGGAGGTGACCAGAGAAGCCCCTCCAATGAGGACAGCTGAAGCTAAGGGACACGTGACCATTCACATAGCCAAGGGTAGCACATTTTCCCCCATGATTATTATCTGAGTTCTACAAGTTACCCGGACCCGTCCTGAAGCATTCCCCTCCTTACTACCAGCTCTGCTGAATGCAGCACTCTTCAGTCCCGCTTTTCCATTGGTGGGCACAGCCTCTTGGGATTAGCTGTTTAGTCCAAGTAAAAAATCTTCCCAGTACAGGGGCTGGCAGGGTTGTGAGGGCCACCCTTTCTCACCGGGAAGCACTCACTCCATTCACTGCCTCAGCCATAACTGACCTTCTGTTTTATACAGGGTGCTTTGTTTTGCCCTAGAGCCCAGGCTGCATGCCTTTCTCCATCCCTGACATGAGAAAAGACGATTGAAAAAAAAAAAACTAGCAGCTTTTACACAAGGTTTTATGACTGCAGAAGTGAAGAGACCAACAGTGTTCAGCTGTCATCCTTAAAGCACCTCAAATGATGAGTGGGCTAATAGATACTTTAGAGATTGACAGATGGAGAAACTGAGGCTCGGGGTACAAGGGCTTCCTGACTTTCTTCACATGCTTGATATACATGCCAGTCTTTGACTTGAAATGTTTTTGGTTTTTGTGCAAAAAGTTGCATCAAATGTGCCTCCCTAGTCTTGGCTTTTATGGTAGCCATACACATTAGGTTTGCTTTAAATTGATGAGAAATTTTTAGAAGCAAAACCATACAACAGTAAGAACACTCAGTTGGAAGAAGAGTGTTCTTGTCGTGCCATGGACATCACATCTACCTCACACTGGGCCAGTCGCTTCCCTTTTTGCTCCAGACTGTAAAACAAGGAGGCCACTCTGGCTGCCATGCAAGGCCCCTTTTGGCTCTAAGAATTCTAGACACTGGTGGTTCCCATGCTGTGACCCACTCTAGGCTTTTTGCAGTGTCCAGATGTCCATGCCACCTAGGAAATATACTTCCTTCTTTTATATTGTAATAATAGGGTTTTGTTCGTTTTCCCAATTTCCTGAAAGCCCCTAGAACTGCAACTTATCAAATTGTTCTTTTTGGTTAAACCAGACTTCCTGTGGAGCATAACTGTTGCTGCCTTTGGGCTCTGGGCCACACCCTTTTTCAATTTAAATCTCATCATTTGTCAAATGTAAACATCAGCAGCAGAGGCAGGGTCTATAGCTTCTTCAACCTGTTAGTTTCTACCAAAGTCAGCCAGGCACACACCACTAGACGTTCTATGTATTTATAGAAACCTCCATATCCTGCAAAGGCAAGGGGCAGCATCTGACTGCTCTGTAATACTCTCCAAAGTGGACCCTCACCGGTGCTGTCAACAGTCATATAATCCTGTGCAGTTATGCAGTTCTTTGCATTTTTATAAAGTACGCTCACATCCAGTATCCACTGTGACCCTCCCAGCAGCTTGGCAAGGTAGAAAATGAAGTGTTTTCAGAATGGCAGTCAGCCTTATATGCAGTGAGCAGCCAATGACAGAACTGAGGGTGGTCCTTCAGGGTACCCCGGAGGCCGGTCTCACAGTCCAGCACTCGCTCCTCTGTAGCGTACTAACTTCCTTGGAAAGAACAGCAAACTGGCTCTCCAGACCCCTCGGATCTTATTTTCTTACTATAATTGGAGTAAGCATACATAAACCACGAAGGACCCTTCTGCTTGGCAAGAATTGCTCTCGTCTCCCCATCTGCATGCTCCTTTCCTAATTGCACCAATAATCTCTTGAAAAGAAATTAAATAATTAAATGTCCCAAACTGTTAAAAAAAAAAAAAAAGAAAGAAAGAAAAAGAAAACAATCGCTCTCTTTGCTTTTGCCCAGAAATGACCAAAACTTTCCATTTCTGCACCTGTGTATTCCTTTTGAGACGTTAAAAGTGATGCTAAAGAAAAAAGATGAATTTGGGATCTATATTATTTTCTGTTGTCATTGTTTTACGAGAAGCAAACTAATAGCTGAGAACTGAGATCCACTGGCTCATCTCTTATTTCATTTTCAGTAACCGTCAAGAGGGTCATTTTAGTCCATTTGCATATATAGCCCCAGTCTTTCATTCAGTATGATTCAAGATGCCCTATGTTGTGTGCTAGGGGAAGGGGGAGGCATATATGAAGTGGCCATGTTGCAGAGGTTATGAATAGAAAGCTGAGAAATTTGGATTTGAAATATTTACAGTTTTGTTTACATCATTTCTGCCTCTCTTCATTTCCCAGGATTGTGGTGGTCTCCTTTCAGAAGGAGATAACCAAGGCTGCTACCCATTGGATGGACACATCCTCTGCAAGCCCTGCAACTCTGCCCGCATCAGGGTGCTGACTGCCAAGGCGAGCACTGACCTTTAGATACAGTAGCTTGATGAGCTACTTAGTGCATGTGGCACTGAGAAGAATGAAACACAAGAAATAGCTAGGAAAAGCAATAGGAAAATAGAGCGGAGGCAGTCAAGCTATGGGATGGTCTGTGTGCTTCATCTGCTGTTAACCTTCCTGCAGAATCTCACGGCTTATGAGATTGTATTTCTAGTTCTTACCGAATATGCGTTTCACATTTAATCACGCAGGGCCCTGCTGGGCCTTTGTTCCGAAGACTTCCACATTTTTGCAGATTATGCTCCATCCCATTCACTTCTGCATTCCTGTAACTTTTAATCCCTATGTTTGTCTCACTTTTCATCTGGTTGAATAGCTTTTTTTAGTGTGGTATTTGCTGTCCCACGGCTTTTCCTGCGCGAGTCTGCCAGCCCACAGGTGCTGGTAGGCTTCAAGTCACCATCCTCTCCCTTCCGTGCTGCCTGCAACTATAAATGTCAGCCATTCTTTTGCTGTGTATTGAAAAACGTGTTTCTCTGTTGCTCTATACCACTCTTATCCTTTGGAGAAAACAGTGCACAATTTCTATGTTATGCTCTAAAAACTTCAAATTGTAAAATGCATAAATTAAAAGCAGCCCAAATTTGACATGCAACCAACCAACTTCAGAATCTGTACTGATCGGTGGTCAAGAATCATTTGAAAATAGTTACCAGCTAATAGCTAAGTGGTAAAAGACAATCAACCTTCCATTTTTTGTCAGAGAAATTATAAGTGGGATACACTTGATATGCTCTTGGGGGCTATGTTTGAAAATCCCATTACTATTCTACAGTACTACCCTAAGATTTTCCTTTTCCACACTACCTAGACATAATATGGGCAAATTTGCTTTTGTAACCTTTTCAATACTGTGCTACTTTTCATCTTGTAAATATTGTGATGTTTTTCCCTAATATACAAACACAACTACTAACACTGACTTTGTCTCTGAAGGAAGATGCTGATAAAAACAGTTCACATTTCTTTCTTTTCTTTTTTTGAATCTTCCTGGTCCACAATTTTTGACTAACAACTGTAAATCAGAGACACAAAATGAAGTTGTGTTGCTTTATTTCATTTACTTTAAAAATAGAGGAAGGCTTGAAAAGATTGTGAAACCAGTTTTATTATTCTTATAATCCTTCTGCAACTTGAATTACATATTGCGGGAAACATTTTCATATCATCAATATGACATTTACACCACACTTGCAAAGACAATCACAGAACAAAGTTGTCTTTCTGAGCTAAAAATATGCAGAATCTCTGCCTAGAATCTTTATTCAAACTCTTATTAGCCAGTGTAACACTTGCTTACCAACTGTAGAACCATATTTATTAAGTTCTAGCATGTCTCATTGGAGGAAAGACACCGAGCTTAGCAATGGCAATTTGCCATTTTGTAAACTAATTAGGTATTTTGGCATAAAATTTTTGAAACCTTTCTTCAAATCTTCCCCAAGTATATACTTTTAAATTATGGAGTATTTTAAATATATGGGAAAGTATAAATAATAATATAATGAAACTCTATATACATAAACACCAGTCAGAACTCAAATATAACAAATATAGTCACATTTCCTTATACACCCTTCCCTTATTCCACAAATGTCTTTTTCACAACTATGAAGTGCTAGTTTTCTCATCTGAATTTATTTTTTAATTTAAAATTTTAACATCCAGAACCAAAATGAAAAATTTTCTGTGCATGTTTTAAATTGCAACCCAGTCCTCAGGAATTTCAGCTAAATTTATTTTACTTGGATAAGAAGCATGATAAATGTGATTTTTTTTTAAATGAGAAATTCTTAAACTTGTGATCACTGCAGCTCATTTAAGTTATTCTAGGGCTCACTGGCTTTCGTCATTTAAGAGTTTTGTGTTAGAACCACCGAAGACCTAAGTTGTATGAGTGTCCTTTGACCATTGTTCTGTTCTTACTGGTTTCTCTTATCTTTGATTATATTTATCACAGTGTGAAATATAATAAGATTCACTTAGCAGCATGTGAGTTTTAGGATACAATGGCAGCTGGGAGCTGTGTCTCTGAATTTCTGCCCTCTGAAGTTAAGGCGAGACCATGCTGATGACAATGGGGGTGGTAATATACTCTGCTTGATTTGATTCATTAACATGTTTACTATTAAATACTTAGGGGAAATTGTCTAGAGACCAAACGCAAAGAGTCCAGCTTATTGAGGGATAGGTTTTATGCCTAGAAGTAGTCATGTACTACATTTTGCCAAAAGAAGAATCTATGAGATAATGACACCATAAGAATGCAATAATGTCCCATTTATTGGTTGCATTTAAGGCCTTATGTAACTGAATGTTTACATGCCAAAAGTGAAAGTTTGAAGAAAACGCTGGCATAGGCCTATCATTGTGGCATTGCCAGCAGAATTCTGCTTGCTTACAATCTTTATAATGCATTCTTATCACATAACCTCAGAGTATCTTTACCAAAGATTTTTAAAGTAAATCTCTTTTTAATATAAACTTATACTTTTATAATAATGAATGTGCACACATAATACAGAAATATTTAGATTTAGATATTTTTTCTTTCACAAGGTCTACTAAGGAAAGGATCCTACCATATTTTATTCTAGGATTTCTTAAATGTATGATTTATTTGCTATTATTGTCTTTTACTACTAATCATTTGATTCAAATAATGCCAAGTCACCCTTTACTGTTTTAGTTACATGAAATTTTGTCTATAACAGAGATAAAAAGATCATATTACCCTAAAGATTATATACTCGCATTGTTTTTGATATATTTTTATTGTTATAATTTAAATACTTAAAAACAGAAAAAAATCAAAGTCCCTAACAAAAATTTTGTACAAATCTACCTGTTTTTACAAAATTATTAAAAAACACAACTATTTGGTATTTCTGTGTAACATGGGAGACACAGAAAAGGAAAAAATCCACTAAGTCATAAGCTCTGCAGACTATTTCAAAATGAGATTTTTTTTCAGTGGTGATCAAACTCAGAGCTTCATGCATGCTAGGCAAGCCCTCTACCACTGAGCTATACCCCTAGCCCAAAATAAGATTTCTTCTTTGCATGGATCCCCACATCATTCTGAGTCAGTGTAGTTTGATTGGCAAACAAAACTGCCTTTGAGACACAAATATAAGTTCCATGTCCTAATATAAGGCATCAGAGGTGTTAGAAGCTGACATCTCTGCAGCTCTGGGATATGGGTTATTTTCTCCTCCTCCTCCTCCTTCTTCTCTCCTTCTTCTTTTCTTCTTCTCCTTCTCCTTCTCCTCCTTCTCCTTCTCCTTCTTCTCCTTCCTCTTCCTCTTCCTCTTCTTCTTATCAGCAAGATTGTTGGAGCGATTTCTCTGCTCAAAATGACTTATGAGTCTATGCTGATTAATGAGGTAAACTTATCAACACTAATTGTTTTCTATGAAATATTCTGCAAAGATATTTATGGTAATGTTTAAAGAATATAAAACTTTACATTTAAACAACTATTGAACATCTAGGGTCCAGAGGACAAAAGAGAGTGCATTTTCAATGCGTCTGTAGAAGAGAAACAGGACTCGGAAAACACAACTTTCCACCGTTTTCCTACTTAGTAAAAATCCTATTAATGTGAACCAGCCAGGAATAACAGTGTTACTTCTATTTGATGTGGTTCAGGCTTCTCTTGTCAAATCTGCGTCAGCTGCCCCCTGATCCTTCCATTATCAAGTTTTGAAGGGTGTTGGGAAAATTATGGCAGCTGCTAGGGAAATCAGGGAAACACTGATGTAACCTCACAGCCTCTCACCATTCCACTTGGCTTGGAAAGGCATTTTTTCCATATACACTTCTAGAAATATTGCTATTCTACCTTAGTATTTCACATTTGTAGTTTAAACAAGTGATTGTCCATCTGTTGCCTAGAGCTACAGTACATGTGTGTTATGAATGAAATATGACAGCATGTTCTATACCCTTGCTTGAGCCATCTGTAGGAAACCAGCAAACTGAAAAAGATATACCTCTGCAAAATGTGCCTCAAGTCCATTTCCTAAGATGGCTCTTTTGGTGTGCCTCCATGACACACAATTCGAAAGAAGCCCATCATTGTGCCTTCGACAGAATATTCTGCCAAACACTCAATAATGGAAGCAATAACCCCCAAATCTCAATGATTTACCCATCAAAAAGTCAAAAAACAAAACCTAAATCCAGAGAAGTCTAAATTTTTATCTTAATGTTTTCTAATAGTATTTCTTTTCTTCCCTTTTTTTGGAAGCACCTTATGGGTCCCTAAAATTATGAAAACATTCTTATGACCAAAAGTAATGTTGGGTGCTATTAGCGTTTTATGATTTGATCTTACTCTGGTTTTAATCAGATAATGAAGGCAGACTCTTGAACTTAAGCCTTTAACACCTATTTGAGCACATCTGTTTTTTTAAAAATTGCCTTAGTTTTGTTTCCTTAATCCAATAGGAATCCTTATTTCCAGCAAGTCATTAATATGGTGCAAGCGTGCACATTTTAGGTCAATTTATTTACTTGACAGATAATCAGAATGAATTGTTTCTTCTAAGGCTCTTGTTTGGTTAGCACAGTTTTATTTCACATCTTTAAAAATAATTTGCTAAAGTATTATAATTTGGAGAGAATTCTAGGCACTTCCCTTCTTCTTCCCTTCATTTCTCCCTTGTCCTTTGATCTCATCTTTCTATTTTACTGTCATTCTTGCATTTCTCATTCTTTCCACTCTACCTACTAATCCTATAAATGAAGTCAATGTGTTATGATTCTCTGGAATTCAGGTTAAAGGGAGAAAAACTATTGGAAAATATATGTAGCATCTAGAAAATCTGGATGGGCAAACTTTTCAGGTTGTGATTATTCATAGAGTAAGATGAGATAATAGAATCCACCTTAATATCTTAGAGAATTTTTATCAGAGACTCAGGTAATAGATTCCTGGCCAATTCATGTATGACTGATCTGGTTTTCTTAGCTATATATAAAGTAATCGTTCTAAGAGTAGGTTAAGATTTTGTTTTAAATTCAAAGCATTTCAATCACAAAATGATTATGTTTTTAGTAGTAGCACATAATTTTATTCTATTGAAACTTGATAATTTTTCTTATAGTAAGGGAGAATTATTATCTTTCATGAATTTTAGCACATATCAGCATTTAGCTCATGGTAATAATATTAAACCCTAATGGTCAAATCACAATAGTTTTAGGGGTTGGATCAGTACCAGAATTTCTCTCGGAGCATGGATTACAGATATATTTTTGCTTGAAAACAGAAAAAAAAACATTAATTTCATTTTCTTTTACACTTACCTGCTCCATGTGAAAAAGGTTGCAGATTCTGTTTTAGTTGGCCAACATGGGTGGGACTTCTTTTATAGAGAACTTATACAAAAATATGTTTTTTATCAAAACATTAAAATTATTTTTAAAGTTACTAAAAGTTTTCCTCTATATTTCTGATTTTTATTTAATTTGTAGCAGTCTCTAATACACAGATAGCTCTACTACTAGCCTTCATTTAAAAAATTGCTATTCATTAAAAAAGTTATTCTACACATAGATATGTATACTAGAGATAAAGGGAAAATCTACAGCAGTGTAATATTTTAAGATTCCCACATGAAGTCTTCCTTACTATATGGTTGGGTTAAGTTTTCTAAGATAATTTGCTCACTTAGTGACAAGAGAAAATCTTATTTATCTAACTGATGGTCATTACCTAATATTCTGAAGTAGAAGCCTTATTAGGTAGCCACACATGCATTCAGTCATATGGCAGTGAACATAGCTTCTAAGTTCAGTTCTCAATCCTGGAAGTGGAATGCTCTACTAAGAATAAAACAAGTGTCATTATGTCATCCTGGGTTTTGTCACCTGAACATGGGTAGAGTGGTCTTGCTGACCCTAAACATCAGTGTTATTCCTAGATACACATAACCATGGGAATATAAACATCTGAATCTTTTCTGTATTTTCCTGACCAATTATCACAGAACTTAAACCTGACCAGTATGCAGTACTGTTCACAATAGTCCATTTTGTCTCTGGAGCTACACAAAACCAGTGTAAAGTCTAAATCTTTGCCTTTTTAGGCTTGATATCACCAACTCTTTCAGCTTTTCCTAATTTATCCACAGTCTCAACTCCCATTACAGTTAGACCCCCCAAAATTTTTTAATTCTATTTCAGTCTACTCAGTGAAACTTAGCAATCATTATAGATCAAGTCAGGTGAAAACACTTTCTTGGAGTTGAAAGTAAATGGAATTGGAATCACCCAAAGACAATTTCTTCCAAGGACTCAGACCTAGAGGAGTGAAAAGAAGATAAGGCTAGATTTCTCACAAGTGCCAAACAGCTCCGCTTCTTTATATTCTATATTGCTGTGGATGATACAAAAAATCAGTCATTCTGAAAAAAGGAAGGAAGCTAGTGCATATGCATCTGTGATAGTCCCAATTTTGGGGCAATTCATAAAGTTACATGTCTTTTCCTTTGTCCCTGGGTTCTCAAAAATGAGACCTTTTTTTGTCCATGTTCCTACACTGAATTTGGAAGGAGAGTTCTTGACATTTACAAATTTTACATCAATACCTATGGGTTGTTTGGCTTTCAGATTCCCTTGTATCCATTCTGTGTGCCAGTGTTGTACCTAGAGATGTTGCACTTTAGCCCAAGTAATCAACTACCTTCCATGATCGATTATATCCTATCTATAGAAGTCCATCATTTCTCTTCATGTTTGTCCTCCCAGTATCTTTATCTCTTACTTACCTCATCTTAATAATCATTGACAAATCACTATAAGAGAATCAGCCTCTGAGGAACTTCACTTCAGGCCAGCTACAGTAAAATCAAACAGGTTAATCTGTACTTGCCCCACAGGACGAACTGGGGCATAAGGAAGCATAATTCTTTCAGTGCAGTTTTTACAGTGGCATCTGTAAAGGTTCATGGAAGGTATGAAATTTTATGAGAAATCTTGAATTGATTCGTGACTTGATTTGGAAGTTGAAGGAAGAGTAATAAGGCACAATTGGAGTACACAGCTATCTTCTAAGAAGACATTCTGTCTTGGGAAAATGTCCCAAGATTCTGGAATTTCTCCTTAACAGGGAAAAAAGTCTTCCATGTATTCCGGACCAGTAGGGTAGAAAAGGGGCAGAGAAATGCTACTAAAATCATCTCATGCCTCTTCATCCCTTTTAATTGGAAGAGAGTATGAGTTGGCCAAAATAATCCACTACTGTATGAACAGGAACCAACCCTCCGTGAACTTTACTGTAACCTAAAAAGTGTGCATTCTTCCTGATCTATGCCTCCATCCTCCACTCTTGCAGAAAATATACTTGTCTTTTGAACTTCCACAGAAGAACTCGTAGGGCACCTCTATTTTCTTCACTGCCTCTAGGCACACAATTAGAAAGGACTCCCCACTCCTCTGTTCTGCTGCTAAAATTCCATCACAGATTCAAGACTAACTCATAATCCAGAATGCCTGAATAGTGCCTTCTTAGAGAAGCCCATCTTCTCTTCAGGTCTTCCATGTCCACCATTACCCTTCGTTCCAAGCTCTCCTGACTTTAAAATAGAACCAACCTTTGAGCTTATGTTCTTCTTGGCAACAAAAACTAACCTTTGTTTTTAAGAAATGCATTACCTTTTTTAAAGAAAACTTTGTGTTTTTTAGCTGAAGATTACAAAAATCTTTAAACATCCCTAAAAGTGGTCTAAATCTTTCTCCAAGGATCAGATATTAGAATTTATGAGTTGTATTGTTGATCGTACTTTCTTATTCCGAAGACAAACTGTTCCGATAGTTGTCAGATAGCTTCATGTAACCAACCCATGCACAATACATTAAATTAATATGACCTGCTGATGATGATTTTAAAAGTGCTGAGAAATGTCAGTGTGTAATCTCCAGGTCTAACAAAGGAGATTCAAAAGCAAAATGTAGTGGAACTCTTCCAAGCAGTTCTTTTGTACAAACAATATTCTGGAAGGAAGGGATTATGCTAAAGCTTTATAGAGGAATGTATAAATTCTTCCATTACTGACCTCGATTATTTTTTAGTTTAATTAGTATTCCTTAGTGTTTGGGAGGACAGAGACTGTATTTTCTTCTACCCTAGCTTTGAACTGGAGAGCACTACAAGCAGAATCTGCTGTCAGTCTCCTGAGCAGCACCTGGGGGTGGCTTTCTGAGCTGTAAAATAAAAATTCCTGAGAGAGCTTAACAAACTGCTTTCACACATAAAACAGCCCTGGGAGGAAGGTTATTAATAGCCAGATCCTAGAAGAGAAAGCTGAAGTTCAGAATCGCTAAGTGGCTTGCCAAAAGCAATATAGCTGGTAAGTGGCAGGTTTGGGGATGTGCCTAGGACTCACAGGGCCAGTGCTCTCTCAGAGGACAATGCGCACTTCTCACAGACTACTGAACCCCCTTTCAGAAATCATCCAGGGAAATGAGTAGAGCCCATTTGGCTATCAGTGGCGGATCCATATGGGCACTGCCATGCTTACGATCATTGAGAGCCCACACACAGCTTCTGTGTCATTTTGTGGGAAACCGCGTGGTATTGTGTGTGATCAGCACTGTGATGAAATTGGTGGGGAAAGACCACTGTGGAACAAACAACTGGTGCAGAAGCACACGGCAGCAAATTTCCCCAGAGAGAGTTGGTTTACATTACATTAACTGAAAACCTCTCCGAAACCACCGGGTCAGGAATATCAGCTGAGACCATATCATTTCGAATTCACTGTTGTGCCGAGGTGAATGATCCTTAAGACAAGCCTGTCTCCCGTGGGCACGAAGAGTCCACCTCAGAGGCACACGCTGCTGTAGGTAAACAGTGCATATTAGTCTCTCTGTGTCAGTCCGCATTTACTGAGAGCCCACCAAGTGTATATGACGTTGAAGTGTCTGGACAAATGCTATGAGACCGATGGCCTTTCGGAGATCTGTCTTCTGTGATTTCATACACTGGCCTTCCCTGGCTCTTACAGTTCTGTGATTAATATATCCTTCTCACAAAGAGTCTGGTACTATGTTGCTTCTAAAAAACACTTAGAGGCCTCCATGTACACTGTAGGTCGAAGTTCACCAAGTGGATGGTGAGCATTTCTGGTCTTAGCTGCACCCCTCGGGAAGCTATTCCTTTTGGTGTGTGCTCTTGGTTTTTTATTTCCTTGTTTTCTCTCCTAGTTATTTCCCTCAGTCAAAATCTGTGAACTGATTGAATAAACATCTTTTCTCCACATTAAATCTCCTGCATTAAATCTGAGAAGCCTTTGAAATTATCTAGTAACTTATCTAGGTATTTTTCCTGCCTAGTCTTCCATCCATGGACCCTGAATCATCATTCATCTGCTTTTTCCCTGGGATTAATGAGAGCCATGTCCAGTAACAAATGGCCTCTCACCTTTTCCCAGTCTTCTCAACTGAGGGACAGGAGACATCAGCAGGACATTCAGAGTCTAGAAAGGGGGTCTCCTGTTCTTGAGAAGGTTGGTGAATGTTACAGCTGAAGGAATAGGAAGCAATTTTCATAGCACAGATGGGATGCCCCACACTAGGGATGGATTAACAGAAGCAGCATTCTGAGCACTTCTCAGAATTATGTGGCTGAGTACACCTGAGTAAAGACTCTCTTGGGTAGAACTCTGATGTCATATTGGAGGGAAGAAAAAGACAAGAAGAGGTGAATATGAAAAAGCAGTCCTTTAAAAATACTTTTATTTTCAAATAAAATAAAATCAGAGCCACAAACTCTGATTTACCTTTCTATAATGTAAAAAAAAAAATGAAAAACTTTCTTCCTCCATCCTCCATGATAGTCCCCCAGATTTATGGAAAATACAATTGTGTTGTCTTTCAAACACACATACACACAATTTTCTGAGAAAGCAGATTCTCTAAAAGAGAAATGCTATTTTAAAACACCTGGGCTTTTTAGGCCAGGAAATTAATAATTCCTAGACCTGACCCAATTTTGTTGCTGCCCAAAAGGAAAAGAGAAAGCTGTTTAAATTTTGTATAGTTCTGTTTATCTCTTAAAATACACCAAAGCAATTTGAGATGGGGGTGGGATCTAAGGTATTAATCTCTCTTTCTTGATTCCCTCTTCATGTTTCTGTCTATCAAGCAAAAGGTAAAGACCTATTCTTGGACCATTATTATTGATGCATTGTGCTGCTATTTTGTATAGTACCTGCTTTACTTCATTGTGAGGCACAAGAATAATAGTTTGCTTTCTTAAATCCATTTCCTCCATCATGAAAGAATAAGTATTAAGACTGAATACCTCTCCTCACCAAATTATTTAACTCCATTTCTGAACTAGTGTAGAAAATGCAAACTTTTTCTCAGATGCATTTCTGCTCCTCCTCCTCCTCTTCCTCCTCTTTCTCCTCATTCTTTTCCCCTTCTTCCTCCTCTTTTCTTGAGAGAGGCTAAATATAAAGGGAAAACCTCCAGTTCCTTCTCATCTTTATTTCTCCTTGGGTGATAGTGATCCTCACTTAGTAATTATAAACCAGAAATAGGAGAATACCTTAGTCAAGTTATGATGTGTCTGTTCAACATACTTATTTCTGCAAATACACACTTGGAGAAGAAAGGGGATTTTCATAATGTAAATACCAACAATAGGAGTGGCCTCACTCATATTTTAACTGTGAAATAACAAGTTGACATTTGGGCAATGTGTGCATTTTACTAGCCCTGTCTGATTTCTGCTTAGTTTCTACAAGAATGGCAAATGAGTCAGGGATACATTGCCCAAAAGTCACAGTGCCTTAGACCTCCCGCCCCAGGTAGCAAATTGAAACTAGCATAGACCTTGCCATCCCTCTAGCTGAAGTAAAAAGTCTGAATGGAGGTGTATAATTGACGAAAAAGATACAGGACCTTGGAAGCTGAATGTTAGCGTCAATATTTTATGGCCACACAACAGCAAAATCATTTTTAAATGACTTTATTCCTTTTACTACCCATTTATTCCCCTGGGAAAGCTGATGAGCAAATTTTCTAAGACTTATTTCCTCATTAAGCAAAGTTAGAATATTTCCTATCTAAAAACCTGAATTATGTCTTCATTCTTTTTCAGAAAACATATCAAAGAGCAAGTAGAATTAAAGATGACACATGACTGCCTTATTCTTTAGCATGAATGAGATTATCATATAGTATAATGTGCCTTAAGTAAAAATTTAAACTTAGATGCAAAACCATGACAGGTGGATGTAGCATTGAGTTCTTTGCATGTTCTCTATGCAGTGAATTGCTTTGTTTTGTTTTGGGTTTTTTTGCTTTGTTTTGTCTTTTAACCTACACCTTTACATTACTTTAACAGATTTGGGGCTTCTCTCTCTACTGCTAAGTATGGGAATATGTGCAATTATAAGATGTACAAAAAAAGGAAAGGGAGAGAACTTTCTAAGTAGCAAATCTGTGCCAAAAAGTAGATGTGACATGAAAATTCAGAGCTTGAGGATAGTAATTTTCCCTGAGCCGTACACACAAGCTTTTATTTCATGGCTTTGTCACAGGCTTTTCTCCTTCTGTACCGTCGTCACCTTTGAGAAAAACGATTGCACCTTCTCCAAGTCTGCCTTTTTAACAGCTTCAGTTGGGTTGGCAAGACTTCCCCAACTCTGAATATAGCCATTTGCCGACTCTGGCCCCTTTGAAAGACTGACTCAAATCTGTGATCTTCTGTTCAGCATACACATCAGCAAAGTGAGAAGATGAGCACTAAATATAGGCTCTATTAACTTTACTTTTAGCCTTACTGCCTTTGAAAAGTGCCTATTCTGAGAAACATAAACGTTATTCCTACATATGTATGTACACACGGTACCCAGAGTCATACTGCTCAGCCTTCAAAAACATACCATCAGAAGGAGTAGCTGCTGAGAGATTCAGCCTTGCCAAATGAAAGAAAGTCACTCATATCCTCTCAAATGGCTACCATGAAATGGGATACGAGCGCATTCCCCGAGCATTCCTTGCTGATACAGCCACTTTGTGTTTTTACCCTGAGAATGGTGGCATAGTGCTGGGGTTTCTTGCATTCCGCTGCAAAGAAAGAGCTTTATGAGATTGGAACATGGAGTCAGGGAAAAAAATGCTTCAGAGAATTAATAGAGCCAGGGTCTGTATTAGGATATGCGTCATATGCGTATTTTATAAACAGCATGGTGGGTTTAAAGTGTCAGCATGTTTCTTTCTTCTTTTATCTCTCAGGCTAACATCAGAGAAAACTAAAGAAAAGACTTGGCTGTGGAGACTGGAGGCTCAGGGGGCCAAATGTCCCTGCCAGATCTTTAGAGCATTTTTACTCTGACTCCTAAAAATAGTACTACATGCTATTTTATGGCTTTTGTCTCATAGTTCTGTCGGAACTATGGATACTATCGATGAAGCAACCACGTAGCGTAGGAGGATGAATTCTTACCCAGTGGTGGGGAAAGGAGAGGGCCCAGGTAAATGGGATGAGGTAGACAGTACAGGATTGTAGAAGAGTTGAAGGGAGGACATGATTTCAAAAAAGATTGTTCTCAATGTGTCGTCTGACTCAACCAGCTGGCAGATTACACTTGCCAAGTCGCTCCTTTTTCTTCTAAGTCAGTTGGCTCCATGTTCCCTTGAATCTGCTTCTGTTTGAGGGAAGTGAGATACGTCCACTTAGCCTTTCTCTACGGGAGCTCTTGATGTCCTCTTGGTCAGATTTGTCCTATAGCCGACCCACTTTTTCCAACTGGAAGTAAAGGGCTCAATCTATGGAAGACAGATCTGATACCATTGCAATCGACCACACTTCTGCTTTCCACAGATGGGTCTCCAGTGAACCAGCAGTGAGGGCAAAACGGAGCACTGTTGAATCATCCCAAGAGTGTGAATGAGCTGTTTTGGTAGCCATCATTTTCTAATATGCAGGGTGTCCTTGGAGAAGGGTCGTACTCTTCACTGTGAACATCTCTCCTGCTCGTGCTCCTCTTCTGTTTGTGCCTTATCCGAATTCAACACTGGTCATTTTCTTTGCTTTCTTTTAAGGAAGGGGGAATCAGCTTGGATTGCTAGAAAGGAGTTCAAAAAACCTCTGTGCGATAGCATAAATCAGGGATGGCGAACCTTTTAAAAGACCGAGTGCCCAAACTGCAATCCAAAACCCACTTACTTATTGCGAAGAGCCAACACTGCCCCTGTGTGCACTGCTATCCAATGCTCAGCTGTGACAGAGAGGGCTCTGGGTGTCTGCTGTGGCACCCACCACCACTGTCATAGACGAGTTATGATACCGAGGTTTTCCTCTTTGGAAAATAAATGGGCCAAGAAAGATACAATAGGGCTCTGATCATGGCCATCAGAGATAGTTTTCTGTAAAGGTTAAATGATGTCTACACATGGATAGATCAAGGACAGGAAGGGACAGAAAGAAGCCAGGCTCTCTGTGCTAGCGCGTCTACTGAGTCCTCACTGCTATGCACCTGTCCTATCCATCGCCACACTGATCAGCTGCTGGTCTGAGTAACATTGCCTGACTGAAGGAAAGCCGCACAAAAGCTTAAAGAATATGACTTTTTTCACATGTGTGGCACTGACAGAAGCATGATATTCTTAAAATATAGGTTTCTGGTTTTTATTTTATTTTGAGCAAATTGCATTTAATCACTGCATCATGAACAATCACCGACAGGTCCAAAATAGCACACATGCTTTCTTAAAAAAACAAGGGGAGAAAATCTGTTATAAGCAAGTGATTTGGGTATTTTCTTTTGTATTTATCCATTATCCTACTCTATGAAAACATGTTTTTATTTACCTTCTATCAGTTCTTTCTATGAATCATGTTTTTCCAAAGCTCTGTAAGAATGAATATGAAAATGATATTCCTTTCTTTCTGTAAAAGAATTGCAACTGCTTTATTATATTTAGAAATCAAATAAACTCCTTATTACATTTACTTGCCTATGTGTGGAATTCTTTTTGAGTCAGATAATCTGTTTCCTTTTCTCTGTGATTCATTTCTTGCATCATTTGCTTTCCATATGGTCCTCTGAGAACAGGCATGTCTCTCAAAGCCAGTGTGATGCCAGGAGAGAATGAATGGCCCTCCTGCACTGTTTGTACAGATGAGCTTAAGGTCTGTGCGCTCCGAAACAGTCCCCACCTCCCTGTCTCTCCCCTACCCCTCCCACTTTCTCCTCTGCCGTGCAGATACTTTTTTTCACTTTTACAGCTGGGTCCAAGTAAATGGGTTCCTTGGGGATGGGGGTGAAGGGATTTCTTCTCTCATCATCAACAACTGGCCAGCTCAGATTTTCACAGTTTTATTCGACCTGTACTATATCCTTTTCAAACATTGCAAATCTACTCTGCTAGACACCTCGATTGATGCAGATACAAAACATAGTCTCTGGCTAGGGATGTAGGTCAGTGGCACAGCACCTGCCTGCCAAGCTTGAGTTCAATCCCCAGTACAAAAAATATAAAAATAAAAAATAAAACATAGTCTCTACTGTCAAGGAGTCTACAGTTGAGCTGGTAGATGTGTGTGCAAATCACTAAGAGGAAAAGAAAGGAAGAATCAGACACAGGACAGAGTCACCACATTTTCAAACTTCACACCTGCATCATTTTCAGTAGTCCTCCATTACTATAGTCCTGTGAGTATTTTACCCTTGTTTTCTAGATGAAAAGTCAGAATAAAGTTAACAATGCAAGACCATTCATTTAAGAAGTTCTTTTCACTTTTGTGAGAAGCAGGTCTGCAGAACCCGTCCACTAAACCCTAGGTGTAACTAGAACTACAGCCCATATGAATCTCTTTTCAAGAAAGTCAGAAAAGAGTATCCATTCTGGCTCCTGCTTAGGCCTGGGGTTTCAATCTCTTCAGCATCAAGCTTCAAACTACAAAGGCTGGGACATCTGGGAACCACAGATGGAAGGGTTCTGCAGGAAGTCATCATTTTTAAAGCCACCCATTCCAAGAGACCTGTACACCTTTGCCAAACAAATGGTGGGTAAGACTTGGGGTATTCAGACTTCTCATACAAAGTTGTGAAGAAAGGACATATAAGATGTAATCTTGTCTTCCTTTCCCATTTTCCTTAATTATTTCATATTGTTGTTAACTCCTCTTCCACTCCTGGCAGTGTTAACACTCTGCGTTTGTCCATTTGTTCCGTGTGAGAGCTAAAAGGGCCCTTAGAGATCAGGTGCTCTGATCTTATGAGTGAATGCTAAGACCCAGAGACAGGAAGGCATTTTCCTAAGGTCACAAAATAATGACAAGGACTTGAGTCCTGACCTAATTCTCAGTCCAGTGCTGCCTTACAGGAAAAATGATACTTGGAAATGAACAAAACAGAGGACATAATATCACTTGACTTTAACTTAAAGAAATTCTCAAAGATGTATTTCAAGAAGAAACAAAACAAACCAAGAAGGAATATGACTGCAACCAGGAATGGCAAGCACAGGAAATAGTAGCTGTGTAACAAACTGCTAAAAAAGATATAGAACAACTTTTTTTTTTAACCTAAAAGGACACAAAAATAGAGCTCAAATATTGGGCAAAGGTGGAACATACAACAAAAATATGATCCAAGTTCAATCTTTGTAAGATTTTTGTAGATTTGAGGGTAGCGTGATTAACTTCGCATTTTTACATTTATCTGTATTTCAAAAGTTGCAACCTAAAAGGAGAGGATATAAATGAAATCAATAGAAGAAAAGGGAATGGGGGCAAATTGGGTAAATAAAGCAAATTTTCTTGAAAGAGAAGAAAGATTGGACAGGTACAAAGGAAATAAAAGCTAGTAAAACCTGTAATTAAAAGATTAAAAAAACTCAGACTGGGTTAACACAAAGTCCAACTTTATACTATAAAAGAGACAAACCTAACCTACAAGCCACAGAAAAGTTAATGAATGGTTATTTTATCAACAAATATAGCCAAAACAAAACTAAGCTTGTGTAATTATATTACTATCAGACAAATTTTAAGACAAAAATACTATTACCTAGAGCGACATTTATTAATGCTGGTTCAATTCCATAAAGAATACAAATTATAAACTTGAGTAACAATGCTATCACTGCAACACATAAAAGGTAAATTTATAAAACTAAGAAAAAATAATAAATCTACCACTGGAGTAGAACTTCTTAACTCCCTCAGAAACTAAAGATGGATTTGGACCATGTTTAAAAACTTGATTTAGTGGATATGTAAAAATTTCCACCCTTCGTCAGGTGAAAAATAAGCTTTATTTTTTGAAGAAGAGATGAGCAATATACTGATTATATGAGAAAATAAAGTGAAAATCAATGAACTAATTATTCAACTTTGGTTAGATAAAGAACAGAATAAAAACTATTTGAGAGAAAAGAGATGATAAAAATATATAAAAACTAAAATTAATTCTCAAAAAACTAAAACTAGAGGTTCCATTTGATACAGTATTGCCCTTCTAGGTATCTTCCTGAAAGACTTAAAAGGTCATATCACAGCGATATATGCACATTAATGTTTACAGCAGCACAATTTATAATAGCTAAATCTTGGAAACAGGCCATATACTCATCAATGGATGAATGCAGAAAGAAAATGTGATTTTTATATACAATGTAGTGTGACTCTGCCGTAAAGAAGGATAAACTGGAGATATTTTTAGGTAAATAGATGCACCTTGAGAACATAATCTTAAGTGAAATAAATTAGATGCAAGTTTATCACATTGTTTCTCTTGTATGAGAAGGCCAAAGGGTAAATAAGGAGTAAAATGGAGGAGAGATACTGGGAAGTAGGAAGAACTTGTTCAAATGGGAAGGGGAATGAGGGAGGGAGGAGGGGGAAGGGAAGGAAGGCAATTGGAATAAACAAAAGAAAAGGAAGGCAAACAATAAAAACAAAGTTTTGTAAATGGGGAAGGGAAAAAAGGTTGAAGAGACAGAGAAGAATGGGGAAAAAAAAGAATTAAGATACATTATGTACAGGCACAAATTCCCTGTGATGAATGAGATCATTATGTATAACAAAAATGTTCTAATAAAAATTATTTTTAAAATAAACCAGAAAAAAAGCCACCTTCAAGGTTACATAAAAATGCAAATTTGAACATTACATCAAGCTCAACAAACCTCTAAAAAACTGAAATTAAATACATAGAGAGGAATGATATAGTAGAAGAAATAAAGCCTAAATTTGGCATTTTGAAAAAGGAGTTACAGGGCCGGGGATTTAGTTCAGTAGTTCCATTGCCTGCCTCTCAAGTGCAAGGTCCCCAGTTCAATCCCTGGTACCAAAAAAAAAAAGTGTTTCTCGGGCCGGGGATTTAGCTCAGTGGTTCTGCTACCTGCCCCACGAGCGCAAAGACCCGAGTTTGAACTCTGGTACAAAAAAAAAAAGTTTTCTGAAAAAGTAATTACAAATGTCTTCAGATGCTGACCAAGAAAAAAATTTGAAAGAAAGCACAAATAGATGATATTTATAGATAAATGGGTATTTAAAATATGAGAATAAATATGAACCATCTTATTAATTTAAAAATGCAGACGAAATATTCCTAGAAAATTATAACTTAGCAAAAGCAAATAAAAATAGATAATCTGGAAAATATAATAAATGAATCACATTAGTGATGTGAAAATCTTCTTCCAAATAATAATGACTAGAAGGAAGCATGAGAGGGGTTCCAGGGCAGGGCTCTGGGTTGGTGAAATTCTCTTTCTGGATTTGGATTGGTGAGATAGTTGTGCTCAGTTTGTGAAAATGCATTAAGCAAAATACTTGTGATTGTTGCATTTTATTTATATTACACTTCAATGAGCAAAATTTTTTTTCTCCATGAGAAAATGCCTAAATTTATGATTTTTCAATGTAAACTTCACTGGTCATTCAAGTTGGAATTACTATAAGAAAAAAGTGAATACTCCTCAACATAATTTATAAAGCAAATAGCTATATTATTCACAAAAAATGTAGAGATTCAGAATTTATGAATCACTGGAAAAAGCAGACAGGCATGAATAATAAAAATGAATTAATCTCAGGAGTATGAAAGTAGTTGGACATTAGAAAATTTATATATGCAATTCACCATATTCACAGAACACAATAGAAAAGTCTTAGGCTGGATGTGTAGCTCACTGGTAGAGGACATGCTTAGCATGCACTAGGTCCTGGATTCACACACACACACACACACACACACACAGAAATAGCATTTCAATGGATTCAAAATAAAGCAGATATTTGTGATTTGAAAAAATACTTAACAAATTAGAAATATAGGGTAACTACCTTGCCCAATTAAAGACTACCTATGCAAAATTGCTCCAGTTGCCCACACATTAAAACTAATGAAAATCATAAGCAAAAGGATTCCCGCTACCACCACATCTGTTCAACTTTGTCCTAAAGACTCTGGTCAGTGCAGGTGTAATCAAAATATGAATAATATATATGAAGTGTGAAATGTAAAAAAACAAAATACCATTAGTTATAAATGATATAACTATAGAAAATGTTATAGCAACTCAACATAATATGCAAAATTATTCAAAAGAATTTAGTAAGCTTGCTACATACAACAATATACCCAGATGATTATGTCAACCAAGTCTGTATGTCTATTGGGTCACCCAGTACCCAGGCTTCAATTTTCTGTCAGATCCCTCTGCCGCTTCATCGTGTCATAACTCCTTTCTTCTTCACACTCACCTCCCTTACCTGCTCTGCACTGGCCTCGTCAGAGCTCTCTTTTCTGTAGGAAATCATTTCAGGAAGTGCTCCCTCATCTGTCTGCCTCAGGCTTTCTAAACTCACGCCCTCACCACCACCTAGAGACCATCCTCCTCTGTAACCAGCCCGGCAACTGAACCCAGGTTACCACCAGTTTCCCAATATCCTGATCATAGCCTTCATCCCCAGGACACAATTCAAATTCCACAGCTCGA